TCGGGGGGCGTGGCCAGTGGATTGGAACCGTTGCCACGCACGCGTCACGCAAGCACGAGATCCTCGCGGGGAAGGCTGACTCGAACAGCGATCGTCAGCACGGCACGCCTGGAAGAGATGACCCACAGGGGTGGTCCTGATCCCAGGGCCCTCTCGCCGTAGCCTGGCTGCAGGAGCACAGAGAGCGTGCACATCGAGGCGGGTGGAGAAGGGGCCGCGGAGATGCCATAGCTACCCCCGCTGCAGCCAGGCGCCGTATAGGCCAGGCCGTTGGACTGCAACACGCAGCTGAGGCCAAAACAGAGATAGGGAGAGAGCCGCGTCCCGGCGAGGAGCGCTCTGGCGTGACAGGGCGCGGGCGGAGGGAGAGCGCGAGGTGATCCCGATTCGAGCGCTGGGCTGTGAGGAGAGTCGTCGATGGGGGCCGATCGCAAGGTGAGCCAGGATGGTCGTGCGTGTTCTGCCCGTGCAGGAGCAGCTGTTCCCGCTGGTGCACTTGCAGAGGTACCGAGGCGCGTGCAGAGGAGCTGATAGAGGTGCGGGCCATGCTCACAGAGACGTGCAGCGGTTTGTGCTGGGCTGGCAGGGAGTACCGATGCAGGTGCAGCGATGCATGCGGAATTGCAGCTGGGGATGCAGAGGGTCGTGCACGAGGGCACGGGAGCCCAGGCTGGGTGGGTGGCAGAGGGCCGTGCGAAGAGCAGGCAGAGGGCGTGCAACTGGGCATGGATGTGCGCACATTCCGGAGGGTTGGGGGCGGAGTCCGCACACGGAACTGCCGACATCAGATGGGCGAGGGCAGCTGCCACGCCCTCCTGTCGGCACACAGCTCCCGAGAGAGCAGCGAGTGTGTGCGTGTGTGTGAAAGTGAAACCCGCTTCATTTACACAGCAGGCACATCGAAAGAAGTCGGCATGCCATCAAGAGTCCCACGGACATTTCGCTATCCACGATGGCTCCAGGGACCAACAGAAGCTCTGGGGCACCTTAGAACCTCCAAAGATCAAAAAAGAATGTGCCCAGAGAGTTTTTATGGCAAAATATGTCTGCCGTGTACGGGCGAACAGGGGCGGCGTTGTGCAGTAAAAGGGAAGTAGGACAAGAGGGCCGCATTCCGGGAAGAGGACAGACCTGCCGCAATGTGGTTGGGAGGCAGGCTGCGGCCCAGAAGTCGCGTGCCGAGGCCCATCGGAAGGTTCGTGTGGGTAGCGGGCGCATCGCCCGCGTGGTGGGCAGCAGTGGATCCCGCGACGTTCAGTGGGGCGAGATGGGACGCCTGAAGGTGCATCGCGATCCTCACGGGGCTGAGGGACCCCGCTCATTCCTGCCAAGAGGTCCGTGCCGAATATTACCTCCGCACCTAACCTAAAGAGGAAGGCAGCCCGGGTCCCGGCCCTGGCGCCCTGGCCCCGGCCCTGGCCCCCAGCCCCCGCCCCCAGCCTCGGCCTCGGCCTCGGCCCAGGTCCCAGCCCTGGCCCTGGCCCTGGCCCAAGCCGCGGCCCGGCTCCCAAGAGAGCCCCACGAAAGGCTCCAGAGCGTCAGCGTCGTCGTCGTCGCCGCTGCCGCCGCCGCCGTCGTCGTCGCCGTCCCCCTTCAGGGTCGGCGGCACCGGCCGCTAGGCCTTCCCAATAGAAGCTCCGCACCTAAAGTGCAAGGCGGCAGCGGACCCTACGAGTTCCCCAGGGGGGGCGAGGGGAGGCCCTAGCAGAGCGGCACCAACGGACGAATTGTGCTCTGGAGGCTCCAGGCCCGAGGGAGGGACACCAGCGGTCCCCACGTCGCACTGCTGGATGGGAGGGCGCAGCTGTGGCAGCGGTAGGTCGCGAGTTGCCTTGGGCCTGGCTCTCAACTGGAGTACAGAGGGGGAGGGGGCGTGTGAGGGGCGGCTGGTCGCCCGAGGAGCTCCCGCACTGACGGTGAAGAGAGCACAGCGCCTGCAGTCAGCAACGCAGGGAACAGGAGCGGACCAAGGTGGATGGTGAGTGCCAGAGGGTCGTGTGCTGCGCAAGTGGTGAGCCGCCGGTGGCAGCTGCCCCGACCGTCGCCCGTGGATGGACAGCGTTCCACGCGTGTCAGAGCAATGGCCATCGCTCGGACGTCAATTCCCTGTGTTTTTTTGGTTTCGTGCGTGGTTTTTTCGGCAAGTGATCAAGGATGCTCCTCGATGGTTCTCGCCGCAGGAAAAATGCACACGTCCGAGCGATGCCAAGAGCAGGGGCAAGAGCGCTGGAGGAAAATGAGCCTGGCGAGGGACCCAACCCTTCGAAGCTTCATGCAGCTCTGGTGGTGAGCATCCCTTCGGGGGCCTGCCGAAGGGGCACGCAGGGCGGCTGCGCGCCGCGGGCGGGACGGAGTTCGAGGCAGCGCCGACGGGGGGGTCTGCAGACCAGGGTGCCAACACGAAGGAGGCCTGCGCGTGGTCGTCGCTGCAGCCCTCGCGATCCCCTTGAGGGCTGTGGTAAAATCAGCGGGGGGTCACCATGTGGATGCACCCACTGGGCCCTTGGGTTGAGCTCTCTATGGGGCCACGAAGCATGCGATGGGTGTGCCGACATGGAGGCGGTCCCGCAATGTGTCCGCGCCCACTGAGGCCTCAGGTTGAGCTCCCGATGGGAACACGAAGAGTGACAGGGGTGTGCCGGAATGGGGTGGTGACGCCGTGCGTCTGCGCCCTCTGGGGCCTCAGGTGGAGCTTCTTGTGGGGCCACAAACTCCTTGAAGGATGTGCCGAAAACCACGTGAGGGGGACGCGAAACCCAGGAGGATGAGGAGGAGGGGGAGGAGGAGGAGGAGGAGGAGGAGGAGGAGGAGGAGGAGGAGGAGAAGGAGGAGGAAGAGAGGCGCGAACGCTGCGGATTCGAAACGAAGACCCAACTCGTACAGGAGGGCTGGGAAAAATTAAACCCGACAAACATAGAATGTCGAACGACGGGCCTGGCGGATTCACCACCGGGCGAACACGGAGATCTGCCAGGTCGACGCACGCAGGCAGACGCCGACGACGACGACGACGAACGCGCAGGCGGGAGGCCTTTTGCCCAGGGGGCGAATGTGGCACCCCACGCCCAGAGGGCTGGGGGGATTGGAGGCGGTTCAGAGGCTGTCGACAGCGTCGGCTACATGCAAGTGTCCCTAGGCAAGAGTGACCTTTGGTGCGCGGCTTCAGGGGGCGCAGGGGGCCAAAACCCAAGCGCGCAAACCGCTGCTATCGCATCGAACTCAGCGATCGGAGGACCCCAGTGGGCCCGCACCAATCGTCACCCTGGCACAGGACCACTCCCACATGAAGACGAAGGCTGGCCCAGAGTAGACTGTTCTGAGCCATCGCCAGGCGGATGATGACGCCGTCTGAACATCGCTCGCGTCGGGCCCGTGCCTGGCGGGAGGCCAGGGCTAGCAGGACGAGGCAGCTGGGCATGCCCAGGCGACCCGCAGACGGCTCGGAGAGGCAGCAGCGCCCCCTCGGGCGGAACACCGGCCCGAGACGCTCCGGAGGGAGCGGCCGCGGCGGACCCCTGCGGCGGGCGGCAGCCGCGGAGGGCTGCCTCTGCGACGCCACGGGCCCCGCTCCTCGAGGGCTGCGCGGGGCGCCCTCGGCGCTCTGCCCGGCGCTCGGGGCGGCGGCGGCCGCCCGCGGGCAGGCCCAGACCCAGGCCCACGGGAGGGAGCCGCCCGGCCCTCCGCGGCTGCCTCTGCGACGCCGCGGTCGGCTCCACGGCACCGCCTCGCTCGCGCGGCACCGCGGGCTCGGCGCAGCAGCAGACGGCGGCACGGCGGCGCCGCGGCGGGGGACGGGCTCGGCACGGCACCTCTCGACACCACACGGGCAGTGGGCTCGGGCGGGGCAGCGCACGGCTCGGCACGCAGCCGCCAAGCGCCGCGCGGGATCACGCGTGCGACGACGCTCGGCAGCCCGAGGAGCGGGGTCGACACAGCGGAGCACTGCATCGCCAGCGGCACGCAGCACCGGACAGGCAACGGCTTTGATTCGGCACGACGCGGTGCCGAACGGCAGCACGCAAGCTGTTCTGCTCCGCGGCCACGAGCGGACACGAGGCCGGTACAGATGCCGGTCGGCAACACACAGGCAGCGCGCTCGACTCGACAGTGCGCTGCACCATCAGAGCCACGCGGCACCACAGAAGCAACCGAAGCGCACGCGGGCAGCGGGCTCGACCCAGCACCGCACTGAGCCGAATGACACCGCACAGCACTGCGCAAGCAACGGGCTCGACATGGCTCCGCGTGGCACCACGTGGTACCACGCGGCACCGCTTGGCACCGCAGGGCCGCACGACAGACGCGCCGCCACGCGGCGAGAAAGCTCGGCCCAGCACTGCGCGGCAGAGCGGCATTCTGCAGTGGCTAAACGGGTTCGACGCGGCACCAGACCGGGCTCAAATGCAGCACTGGCTCGACACGGCACCACGCGGCTCCGCTCGGTGCCACGATGGCAATAGATCCGAGCTTTGTCTGGCCGCGGCACGTCCTTAACATATTGACTAAGAGTCCTTGCAGTTCTGGCCGCTTTGGGGAAATGCTCTGGCTGCCACTTTACTTTGCTCACACATCACGTGTATGTATACATACATACATATAGGTGTGTGTATGCCACATACACATTATCCCTTATGGCGTGAGGTGTGGGATCGTGCATGATGCTTGCACTGCGTGTGAATGGACTCCCAGCTACCTTGTGAATTTTGCATGTTGCCTTCCCACGCAAAGAGTGGTGGAACATGTTCAAACATCTATATATATATATATATATATATATATATATGTGTGTGTCTGTGTGTGTATCACTCTTCGTCTCCCCATCGCCACTCCTCATTCACGCCCTGCTCCCTCGGTAGACCCAGCAAGCTCTCTCCAGTACTTGTCTTCGCACCTCCAGCGCGAGAGCTAACACCACATCACCTGGAAATTGTTTGTTCGAGCCCACTGCCCTAGCAGGCCCTGCGCCCGCCAACCCCAGCAACTCGAGCACACCCCGCTGCCTGAATATGCGGCTGCCGCAGGGCCCAGTGCATCTGCGATGACGCAGAGTCGTCTTCGGACATGGACGCCCAGCGTCGCCTCGCGATGTGCTCCGCATGGTCCTAGGGCGACCAGGGGGGGAAACCACAGCTTAAAAATATTAGATGCCATAACACGTACATTCGTAAAAGACGTTACCAAACCGCGCTACATCGAATGAACGATCATGTCGCAGAGTCCCGATAACCATGCCAACTGCTGTGCGAGATCGGGGAGAAAGTCTACAAATATGGTCGAAAGGGAGTGATGCGCCCGTGAGACCGATTGAAGGCGAACAAGGTGGTAATGGGAGTGACGGCCCTAAGAGCGCCTAAGCTACCACCACGACAGCCTCAGGGAGGCCGCAGAGTACCCCAAGACGGCCCGAGGGCGCTCAACGAGGGCCCAGGGTGGCCTCAAGACAGCCAAAGAAGCCCTCAAGACGCTCCACGAGGCCTCCAGAAGAATGCCCATCAGGCAAAAATTGCTCCAGACCCTTCAGAAAAAACGTACATATTTAGCATATATGCTTCTTTGGTCTTCACAGGATTACGACGGCCCAAGAGGCCCCCAGGATCCCCCCCTAAAACGGCACAAGAGGCCCCCAAGAGGGCCCCAAGACGGGCCAAGAGAGGCCCCTGAGGCCCCCATAAGGTTCCCAAGAGAGCCCAGGAACACAGGTGGTCCCCAAGAGGGCCCAGAGGGCCCCGATAGGGCCCCAAGACGGCCCAAGCCCCCCTAGACGGCCGCCCCAAGAGGGCCCCCCAGGACGACCCAAGAGGGCCCCAAGACGGCCCAAGGTAGCCCCAAAAGGACCCCCAAGAAGGCCAAGGGAGGCCACATTCATTGATTGTCGCAAGGTTGGTTGTTTGTTTTTGTTGCAAGACGTGCCACAGTCTTAACACTAAGAGGGCCCCAAGGCACTGAGAAAGCGATCTCGCGCCCTCACAGAGTACAAGCGCTTTCCGTCCCGTGCCAAGCAGGTCTAACAAGCGCGATGTGTACGAACCCCTCTCGAATGATACAATACGGGCCAAACGCGCGCGTCCCCGCGAGCGCATGTCGAATCCATCGAAACAGCAATCATGATTGAAGCATTTTAGGGTAGAGCTCGTGAAAAAACATAATCAAAACAATTGGCTTGATAACCAACAACACATGCGCACGCGCCCCTGCTAAAATCAATCGGTCGCCATACGTCGTGTCGTTCCTGCACATGTCGGCCATGTCAGCCACACGCGCGCACATGTCGAAGTAGTCCAAGAACTATCCCGCACATGCTAAAATAAGCCGCTTTAGATTGCGTCCACCGACTCGGTCCAATCAGAACATGCGGACCACACGGGCGAGTCCTCGCGCGCGCATGCCGAAACCAGACGAGGAATAGTGGCTTCTGAAAAATGTCGCAGTAGAGCAAAAAGAACATGCGAAAACTCTGCGCGCGCGAACGCTTACCAACATCGCAACCAAACCGTAGACGTCCCCGTCATCCCTTCACCACCTCCATCATAACAATCAATCATCGTCGTCACCACCACCATCGCCATCATCACCGCAATCATCGACATCATCATCATCATCATCATCATCATCATCATCATCATCATCACCATCATCATCATCATCATCGTTGTCGTTGTCGTCGCCGTTGTCATCATCGCCACCGCAATGACCATCATCATCGCCTTCTTCGTGGTCGCCGCTCCTAATGTTACCATCGTCAATCGCCCTCACGAGTCATGGATCTGCATTAGAGGGGTCCGCGCGTCGATGTGCCTCCTGGGATGTGCTAGCAGGCGTCGGTGGGTAACTGCACTCTTGGCCTTCAAAGTGTTGCTAACAAGTTGCGGGGAGAGGAGGCTCATTTTCTGTAGAATTGAAGCTGGCGGCTTCCAATTCTTCTACCCAAAAAACTACACCCTGATGATAGCAGCCCACAAACTGCACCGCAAACAATGCACCCAAACATTGAGCAGAACCACAAGACGGTTTCCTGACTGGCTTGCGTCTCGGTAAGCATGCCCTTTTTTCGGCGGAGCGGGCATTATGTGCCGAGCCCAGGGAATAACCTTACTCAGCAGCCGTATCGGTAGGATCGCAAACAGAGCGGCCAGACCGCAGTCGCGTGGCCAAGCATGCTCATGGCGAGCGCAACTATTCCAGCTGCTGCTCTTCCTCTTGCCGCTCACATTGCAGATCCTGCTCCTAATGCTCTTCTGGCTTTCGTCCGCCTCTTCCCCCTCACCGCCACGAACACCGTCCTCATCGCCTCCCTAACGTCATCCCCTCGCGCGAAGAAGAAACAGCCCCCAAGCAAGCCCAATCTGCTACTGCGGCAGCTGCTGAGGAACATGACGGAAAAGGAGGAAGGAGGAGGGACAAAGAACAGGGGAAGGATTGAAAGGGGAAGAGAGGACCTGGTGCTGCTGCTGCTGTGGGGAGTAGGCCTGTGACCTCAGTATTCCTGCCGCAAGGCCGGCCCAGCCAAGGGCGGGCGGCTGCAACGCACGATTCTCTGCCCGAGTTTGGCTCGGGCTCCTCCTCCTCCTCCTCCGCCTCATCCCCCCCTCCTCCTCCTCGTCGTCGTCGCCATCATCATCATAACCAGCATAATCCTCAGTATCATCATCATCATCATCATCATCATCATCATCATCATCATCATCATCATCATCATCATCATCATCAGTATCATCATCAGTATCAGTATCATCATCATCAGCATCATCATCATCAGCAGCAGCATCACCACCATCATCATCATCAGCAGCATCAGCATCGTCATCGTCACCATGATCATCATCATCATCATCCTCATCATCATCACCATCAACATCATCACCATCATAATCATCATCATCAGCATCATCACCATCATAATCAGCATCTTCATCTTCATCTTCATCATCATCTTCATCTTCATCTCCATATTCCACATCATCATCACCACCATCATCATCACTACCATCACAATCATCAACAACAACAATCGTTTTCAGACTGTTCGTTCTTACCTGCTCGCGTGCCATACCCCAAACTATCAATACCTGCCCTCTCCGTCTTCGATCATACCTCCTTGGGAGTATATCTTCCTTAGCTGTCACGTGCATTTAGTGCAGCCCCTAAAACAAGGAAAGAGAGGACGGATGGAAAAAGGAGGGAGAAGGATTGAGCACGGGAGAGGTTAGCAGGAGGGGGGCTAGGAGCAGAAAAAATGTGGTGCGTAAATCGCGAGGTGGTCTCGAGCGATAGCGCGATTCCCAAGTGAATCGAGAGAAAAACCGGACCGAGAGCGCGATTTCTGAGCATCGAGGGCGCGGCGTCTGAATAAATTGCGAGGAACTCCCACGCGACAGCGCGATTCCTGTTTAAATTCGCCGGCGCCCTTGTGTGCCAACAAGGCTCCGCGGCCCAGGCTTGCTGCTCCCTGCTCCAGTTGCACTCTGCCATGCTATAAATCCGACGTTCTGCTTCCTATTGTAAATTATTGGAATCCGCGCGAAGGGGGGTAGCCGAAAAGAGCCCAGGTTACCACCACCTGGGGGGGTTCTGAAAATCGTTGGGGGGTCCTGGGACACTCAAAATAAATTTGGTTCGCATCCCCAGAACCATAATCCCGTGCAACTTACACAATACTCGCGTCCCCGAAGCCATAATCCCGGGCAAATTACGTTGTGTTCGCGCCCCCGAGACTAGACGTCCTCGTAAATTACACAATGTTCGCGTCTCCGAAGCAATACTCTTTATCTCTCTCTATTCCTCTCTCTATCTCTCTCTCTCTCTCTCTTCTCTCTCTTCTCTCTCTTCTCTCTCTCTCTCTCTCTCTCTCTCCCTCTCCCTCGCAAATTGCTCGATATCTGCGTCCCGAAGCCACGACCCCTCATAAATTACGCGCCCCCGAAGTCACAAACCCTCATAACGTACACAGTCCTCGCGCTTTCGAGGCCGCAACCCTTCATAAAAAGCTCCCAAGACAGTACAAGAGGCAACTAAGTAGTGAAAAGGCCAAATCGAAAGCGCGATTCCTGAGCGTCGAAAGTGCGGCGTTTAAAATACTTGCAATGCCGATGCAATTTGCGAGGAATCCCGCGCAAGAGCGCGAGTTTCGAATAAATTGTCAGGAAGTATCAGGCGGGATCCGTTGTCCTTATCAACAGGGGGCCAACCACCCAGTTTGGTGACCCAGAACTTCTCCCGATGAAAACCAGGGTGCGAGCCCTGGGAAAAGCACTTTCATTAAAAGCACGATGGACACATCAACCATACTTGTTTTGAAGCGAAAACTCAGCAACCTCAGAATCGACATCGGCACCACGACCACCACCATCATCATCATCATCATCATCATCATCATCATCATCATCATCATCATCATCATCATCATCATCATTATCATCATCATCATCATCACCATCATCAGAAGCAGCGGCATCATCCTCATGACCATCAGCATCATCAGCATCATCAGCAGCATCAGCATCATCATCACCATCATCATCGTCATCATCAGCATCACCATCATCAGCAGCATTTTCATCAGCAGCCTTGTGCTCATCACAATCATCGTTGCAGTTGCTCCCGAGTCGAAACCAAGCACAGGGGCGCGTGGAGGCTCCCGGGAGGAGGGGGAGCTGGAGGCTTTGGTGGTGCGCCTGGACGGCCCCTTTGCCGCCTCCCCCTCCTCCTCCGTCATGGAAGCTGGGGAGAGGAGGCATCGGAAAACAGTCTGGTCAGCGCTGACCTCCCCAAGGGAATTGCTCGAGCGTCACCAGAGCCACCCGAGCACTGACCTGACCAATCAGCTGCGAACCTGCCGCCTCAGGGTCACAATCAGTCAGGTCAGTACTCGGGCCTCCCAGGCATCACCTGACAGGACTATATCCCCAGGCCGAAAGTTTTTCCTCTTGAAGCGAAAATATGACAACACCAGTGGACAAATTTGGATACCGTCTTG